TTAAATGTAGATGCACTTTGATGACTATAATAGAAGTAACTCAATATTACCATGCAGATTTAGTGAGATGACTCCACTACAGTACTATCAGGTAATCACCATGGTTTAAAGCTCCAGAAGTAGCTACTTCCAAAGTCAAGAATTAACTGTAGAGGCGCCCTGGTAGCTCACCTGGTAGAGCTGTACCAAGGCTGCGCCGGCCATGGGTTTGAGTCCGACCAGTGGCACCTTGCTGTATGTCACCCCCCCTCTCCATCTTCAGCTGTCTTGTCAAATACAATAAACAAACTGTAATGCTCAACTGTTAAGATCTTGTTTTATAGTGCAGAATACCACCACTGTTTATCTACAGCAGATGGAGTTTGCTTGTGTAATTATAAATGTTAAAAATTTAAATTTTTTGTAGCACCTTATGAACTTTCCTTCTCTGTTGATTTAACAGCTCCAAAATGAGTAACAAATTCACCTTGGGGTTAAATTGTTTTGCTTTTTCCGAGGTCAAGAATCTACTTCACTCTCAGGCTTTCAAATGATGATTGTGTGCTCATGTGCCCTTCACTCCAGTGTTGTTTGCCTGCATTCACATTCCTCTAAGTACAAATAAAAGGGTTTCTATTTATGATGCAGTGACAACATTGTACCAACGCACACACGCTCCCACTCACAACCTATACTTGGCAGAGCCTTGACACATACAGAACTGAGGTGTGAGATAATGAAATTAGGGCTCCATGCTCCACGCTCCTCTGCCCTGTGGACAGACTGAGCTCTGCAATGTCATCCTGAGGAGAAACATACGACACCTCTGCAGTGAAAACATGTGTTGCTATAGCGCGAGTCCTGGTTAATTTGAAGTAAAGACAAATTATATCCTACCCGTCTGTAGCATTAAGGATATAGCAATCTATAGTCATTGCATACTATACTGGGATTAAAACATTGGAAAAGTAGTCTCCTCAGGGATCACTTTTGTGATTATAATTTAAAATGTGAATTGGAAATCAAAACAACAAAGAGAAATATTTTGAAACGCTGTTTCTCTAGACTCCCTCTTCTCTAGTATCCACTGCTTTCTCTGTATTCATTGCTTTGATGGTTTTCTGTCACTTATCTCCAGCTCGGTCTTTAAACTGGAGAGACTCTTTCTCTCTCTCTTTAATGATGTGCTTGAGTGATGCTAATGAATGGTTCTTACACTCCGTTCCCTTTTCTCTTCTTCTCTCCATCTGCCTGCTTGATCTGTCAGAGAGACAGCAGAAAGAGATTTTTCTACTTTAGTTATGAAACTCCCTCAGGGTGATTCTAAAGGAAAACTCAGATGACTTTCCTCATTTCTGCTGGCCTGCTGATATGATGGATGGAGGTGTTTAAAAAGCCTGACTATTTCTGTTGGACCGTTCGTCTGAGTGGCTCACAGTTAACAGTCAGGAGGGAGTGTTTGGGTAGATGATGCAAAGGGTGAAAAGTGTGTAGGTGGCCCAGTTGAGATAGGAAGGTGTGTGTGTGTGTGTGTGTGTGTGTGTTTGTGTACTTAACTGTATGTGCATACAAGCCTTTGTGCTTCCATGTGTGGTGCAAGTGAAGTCTGGTGTGAAGGAGACCCCAATGTGACGCTCCGTACAGCCATGACTGATTGCACTCTGAGCCAACTCTCCTGTGTTGGGACTAGGAGTGAGTAATAATTTTTCTCCACTCTAAAAAAAAAAAAAAAAAAAGATGCTTTTTTTTTTGTAATAAGGTTTGAAATTGGTTGGTCATGAGGAAATTGACTATTTTGATCGTAAATTACATTGGCTACTTCCAGTTTCACAAAATGTTTGATATCGTGTCTCTTGATATGTTGTTACATTCCTAATAATTAATGACATGTGTAATGTGTAAGAGTAGTTCAGTCACAGACCCACAGATAATTATCACCCGATTCCTCAGTTTTCAGGTCATTGCTTTGGTTTTACTGGACACGACTTTTTGATTAATTCTCACCTTCTCAGTGTAGTTTTCAAACCGCAGCAGAAAGTTATTTTCAGTGAAACTCTACACCTAAAGCACAGCACAGAACAGCGGACCGACCGTGGAGCATTCAGTTGCTTTAGCTCTTCCTGCATTCCTCCGTTATGCTCTAATCACATCCTCCATTTTGTTCCCCCTTGTATTACTATCCTTGATCCTTGCCATCTTGTCTTCATCCCTCTGTCCCATAGCCTTCATCCCCATCCATCCCTGCTATTCCTCCCTCATCCACCCTTCCCTCCTTTCATCCTCTAAGCCAGTGCAGATGCTGAAGCCAGGTGTTCGGTGTGTCGATCTGGTTAGCCAGCCGGTTAGATTCAGATAATGAAGACTTAGCCTCCACTTCCTATTCTGTTGAGGCTGTGTGCTGTTCCCAAGCTAAAACACACATGCATTAACACTGTCTCAGACAGTGCTGGAGGAAGTATTTACTTCAGTAAAACTACTAAAATACTCTATTCAAAGTGAATGTCTGCAATGAAAATCTTACATAAGTATAATCAGGAAAATTAACTTAATTATTGGAGTGGAGAAAAAATGTTTCCCTGTAAATGTTATACTATTAAACATAATTAGATTATTATTACTCATGCATTAATATGAGGTTAATTACTTATATTAATGCATGAGGTTAATTTTCAACTATATTATGTGAAACTGCAACTAATGATTATTTTCATTATGGATTAATCCACTTGTTATTATCTCCATTAATCGATTGATTGTTTTGTTTGAAAACAAATTGACAGATACCCTGTCACATTACCCAGAGCCCCAAGCGACACCTTCACAGTGCTTGTTTTGTCCAATCAATAGTCCAAACCTCAAAAATTTTACAAATAAATTAAAATTACTAAACTAAGTAAAAGGAAAAGCAGCGTCTCCCTACATTTGTAAATGTTTGACATTTTTGCATGAAAAATAATTAAATGATTATCAAAATAGTTTCTGTCAAATGATTAATCGACTAATAATTTCAGTTGTATTTGTGCATTAGCATATGTTTTCTGTACAAAAATCTTACTTTGTGAAGTAATGCTGTCAAATAAATAGCAGAATAGAAGTATAAAGTAGCATGAGATTAAATTACTTGAGTAAAGCTCCTCAAGTAAAGTACTTGAGTAAATGTACTTTCATTCCACCACTGGTCTCACAGACTGATTAGTACGTACACGTGCATGTCCAGTCAAATGCTTTGGAGAATGTAAGCTGGAAACAGCTTTTGTGACCTCAGTGCTTTGTGAAGGACTGACAGGCAGACAATTAAACTGCTCGGTAATTGGCAGAGTATAACCCAAGCAGACAAAGGTCTTCCTGACCTTTGAACTGAGTTTATGACTCCTGTTCCCTGCAACCGCAGGATGAAGGTATGTCAATGGTGATTGTCTTCAGACAAGAGAAAGGAGAGTGTCAGAAAGATCCATGGTGATTTAGGACCGAGCATTACCATGGATGCCGAGAGAAGAGAAAATTGGAAGTGTTTGGGTTTCATTTGAGCAGATAGGGGAAGAGTGACAGAGCTTGCAAAGGAAAGCTTCAATAACACTGACAAGATATAACAAGAGAGGAGTAGATGAGTTGTTTTCATGTGTAGCGAAGAAGTGGAGGAGGCAGGGTTATCTGAGTGCTTGAAAGTAATTTCCCAGAGCAGAACAAGATATAGATAGAGAGAAATGGAGGGAGGGAGGTATAGATGTAGTAGAGAGAGCTAAATGGGGACACACTTGAGACATAAGGTTCATCTATGGGTCTCTGTCACATGACTTCAAAGCATTATATCATTATATATCAGTGCCAGGAAATTGCAAACCTTTGCTCTTCTGCAGTCTCCTTAATCCACAGCTTTTCAATTCCTGCAGGTGTTTCTAAAATGGAAAACCCCTTATGAAACACGAGCTGTATGAATCCGGGATGCTGCAGATCAGTGGCATGGCATCAGAATATTATCTAACATTTGCACTTGGAACTTTTTGAACTCCATGACCTTGGACGGGCTCATCTTCCCTTTTGTGGCACCGAGCCAGGGGAGTGAGGCATTATTTGTTCCGAAACAGCATGTTGTGTGGGGAAAAAAGGGGTTTAGTTGGTGTTACCTTTGAGTCGAATGTATAGAGGTGAGGATACAGTTTCTCTGGCTCAGCTCTATCCCACAGCGGGGTGCGAGTGTGAGCTTGTGTGGGTTTGATTGGCGATGCACTTTTTCTTTTTTTTTATCTTTGTTTATCTGTGATTCATCTGCTGTAGCAAAGCAGAAAGGACAAGCAGGTTACTGCTACTATAGCCTGATTACTCGTCAAATTCACTACGAGTGCGTGTGCAGTTATAGATATATACTTTGTTTTTAATCAATGGGCACTACTTTGCAATATTCTGTATCAATAATGTCCTAATGTATATTTATGGTCTATATATGGTCTATTTAAATGATGGTGAAATCCAGTGATTACATGCACTTTTCAGTCGAAAGGTCTTCTGTAGCTCTCCCAGAAGAATCAGGCTTTTTATACCCAATTATTGGTTGTCAGGTTTTCATTACACCTCTGGAATTAGTTGGTCAACAGGAAATAGAATCAGCAACTATTCTGATGCATAGTTGTTGCAGTCCTACACCTCATCTATTCATTGTGACATTAGCTTTATTATTACTGATGATTTTTTTTAACGTAAAAGTCTGAAGTTCTGTCAAGTTTAGTTTTCTTTTGTTGTTTGAACAACAGTCCAAAATCCAAAAATATTCCATTTACAATTAAATAAACCAGATAAGAGCAGCACATTCTTGTATTTGAGAAGCTAAAACCAGATGGTGTTTGGCATTTTTGTTAGTAAATCAAAATTATTGTTGATTAATTTTCTGTCACTTACAAAACAGACTCATCGATGTGTGTGGTTTGAATATATTTGGTTAGACCTAGATATTGTTTTTGACCAAGCTCACTTTTATCTGCAGCCATCTAACTCTTCTTCTCTCTCCCTCTGCTCTCCATTATCAGGCCGCTGCTGACTTTGCAAAGGCCCACCTGCCCGAGGCTCTCCGCCAGCAGCTACTGACCTATGAACGGGAGAAAGAACGGGACAGAGAAAAAGACAAGGAGAAAGATGAAAAAAAGGAGAGGGGCGGCCTGTCTTATCCTTCGATCCTGGAGCAACAGATCCTGGCCTTGGACAGAGAAATGCTGGAGAAGCTCTCCGCAACTTACAATGAAGCAGGTCTGTGTTTGTTTGTTTATTATGTACCACAAGACCCCCAAACTGTACATGACATATTCAAGTGTACATGTGTCCATGCAAAATTGTATTCATGTTCTTGCATGTTCTCTGTCTTAAATGCTACACTGATTAATTAATTAGCAATGGTCTAAATGTGTGCGTACAGTGTATCAGCTTGTGTGGCCACAATAGAGGGCACAGGCCGCATGCAGATTTTCCCCCACGAGTGTTGCTCATTACTGGGGACACAATAAGAAAGCACCAGTTAGTCTAGAGCGATGTTTTTAAATGTCCCCTATAATGCAGCACGCAAACTATTATTTTCTACTCCAGCGTTTCACTGTTGTTGAATAGCGACTGTCAGCAGCCCCGGGGCTTGCTTATTCAGCTGTTTAAATACAAGCTGATCTTCCCAAGGCTTGTAGTAATTATCTCTGGATGGAGGCAGGGAGGGAGGGGTGACGCGAGAGAGAGAGAGAGAGAGAGAGAGAAAGTGATGGATGGAAAGAGGTAGGAGAGAGGTCAGAGGAAAGGATGTATGTGTGGAAGGAGGATATTTTGCTGGTGAGAGCTATATGCTAGAAAGAGATGAGAGACCTGTGCGACAGCCAAAGTGAGTGGAGAACAATAAAAGAGAAGTGCAGAGATAAAGGGTAAGGAGAGGCAGGGAAGGGACGAACCGAAAGCAGGATGTTCAAAGGGTAAGGAGAGTGGGAACATGGATACAAAGGGTGATGAAAAAGACCGAACCTGAATGAACCAAAACAACCCTTTGGGGGAGAGGAGGAAGAGAACAAAAAGTCCCACAGTGCAATGTAGTAGACATACAGGCTTCATTCATAAACATATTTGACTTTGTTCTAGATTCCATCAAAGCTGTAATACATTAAAAAAAATAAATTGTAGACAACAGAGAGGCAGTGACAGTAAGGGAGAGGGGCAGTAGAGTAATGAGTTTCATGAGGTTTTTTTGTCCACCTCTATGAATTTAATATCTATACTATAGGGCGAAAATGCCGTACCATAGGAAATTAGAGAAAGCCAGGACCATATGTTAACACAATAGAGGGCACAGGCCGCATGCAGATTGTGATTGTGATGTGATTATGAATACATTTTTTCTACAGCAGAAACATTATTGGCTTATTGAACATGCATTTGTTTAAACATTAACGTTTCATTTTCCTCGTTACAGTTCCACACTGTTAGTAATGAACATCCTTCACAGTTTACACACCGACTTCCTTGTTTGTGGTTGACTCACCATACTTTAGTTGTACACCCTCAGTGCAGTGCAGTGAGTTTATATTTCAGGTGCGCTCAATCGATGTTTTTTATTAGAGACTTCAGAGTAGAGCGCTGACATGGAATGAAGGGAGAGATATATTGATAATGCCACGAAGGTCACTGGTCAGATTCAAACCAAAAATGTTGTGGCTCATGTTAACCGTCCCTGCTCTAAGTTTCAAATGTAAGTTTTAAAATGAAGTGGTTTAGATAATCTATATAAACTGTTAGCTTGTCTTGTTTTGTGTCCACTCGTGTTTCTCGCCCCAGCTGACTTTGCTCCAGCAGTGTCACCGTGTTCCCAGATCTCAGTAATTACTTTTGTGCATTCATTGTTATCATAGCCAATAGAAATGAAGGTCATAACGACAGAAAATAAGACCTGAGTTGTAATACAAAGGAATTCAGGAGACGAGGGGAAATGCGGCAGCTTACAATTAAATTACAAGCTTAAACAGTATGTAGCCTAAATGGAAACCTGCACAGACAGCTGACATGTGACTCTCATGTCAGTTGGTGAGGGGGTCACTGGTATGAAAGGGCCTTTGAGAAAGCCTCACAACCTCTAGAGCATGATGGGTCATATGATACACCGATTGAAGACAAGAATTAAAATCTCCAGAGCTGGAGCGCCCGGTGTGGAAGGCTATAGCTGATCATTACTTAACATAAAAGGACGATAATGTTGCAGCTGCATTACATTTTGTTACGCTCACATGCACTCGACCTCTTCATTCTCTTTTATCCTCATCCTCTTCTCCTTCGCTGGTTCCTCAGCTGCAGATATAGCATCGGCTTTCTGATCTGTGCTGCTCTCAAAACAGCCACCAAGTAAATCTCACCTCCTGATCCCTCAGCCTACTTTTGATCTTAAGCTACGTGACCTGTTGCATCCTGGTGCCAAAGATCTGTCCACATCTTTTTTTTTTTTCCCCTCTATATTTTTATCATCCTTTATTTGGACAGCACAGCAAGGACTAACACTGAGGTTATAGATAAACTTACAGTCAAGCTCCATTACAACTAAAGAGCTCCTGTGGCATCTAGTCCAAGCATTAGACATTCAGGGTTTGAATTTGTTGCAGTATTTGTCCTAGCTTTAATGTCAGTGTTTCAGGTGGTGGGGTGTCTGATGATCAGGTAATTGTTGTGCATTCTTGTCCATGTATCTGATTCAACAATCGCATCATTTAGGCTGCACAACTCCCTGCTTTCTGTCGCAATCGGGGCCTAAATTAAGCTGGCAGCGAAGGAGGAGAGAGGGAAAACAGAGAGATACAGTCTCAATTCAGCTCCCAGTCCCCAAGACAACAGCGTATCAGATTTATCCCCCTGTTTGTTCATCCCTCTGTTGTTTTATCAGTGAACAAAAGCGCTTGGAAGAAAGATAAGGGAGATGGGACTTTGATGGAATGGCCAGGAGCTTAGAGTCTATTATGGAAACAGTCTCTTTAATGCGGTGTGGTATTCTATTAGCACTAACCTTTATGTAGCTGTGTGACATGTCTCTTAGCACACGCCTTCACCCACGCAAGCACACAAAAGTGTCCTGTAGTGCATTAGTCCAATAATTATCGTTGCAAGCAGCAATATAGCGACCAGGCTGACAATTAAGCCATGTCATGTGGCATAAAGGGTTCTGTCTTACGAATTAAAGGCTAGGAACAGTTAAAATTAGATTACTTAGATTAGTTCATGGAACTATGTGCAGAAATATTTTGGGGAAAACATTTTGTGCATCCGTCTTCCAGAAGAGAAAAATAAACCTCTAAAAGAGCAGGAATTAAACATAGTGTATAGTGTGTTTAATCACTGCATTATGAAGTGCTTTATGTTTTATAGGAAGGTGACATATAACAGTGAGTAGGTTAGCTCTCTTAACACACATATCAACACAAACACACTTGGAATCATTTCAATGTCGAACTGCCAGGGAGCAGAACGTTTTAGAAATCAAATATTTGCAGGAAGGAAGGAAATATTTCTGCATCAGTAATGCAGCAGGAAGTATTCGTATTACTGGTGTCATTATACTGATATTTTATTTTGCGAGAAAATGTATCATGAAGTATATCACTATAATAACTTTGGGCCTCTTCTCTAGTTAGAACAATTCACCAGGCTTTCCTTGACTGCCAGAGACAATGTAAATGATTCTCTTCAGAGCGAAGCTCCATTTTGTTTTTGATTTCCTAAGCTTTGCATTTGTTTGCTGTTTATAATTATTTTTAGCAGAATGTTGATGTCATTGCTCTTTATTGCTCTGTGTCATTTAATTTGTCTTTTCTGTCTCCAGTGAGGTTAATCATTGTTTGGATTGTTGATTTTCTCTGTCAAGTGTCTGATTACTTAAGAAAAGCACTTTACATTCCATTACCCTTTAAGTAAATGTTTGTTCATGCCAAGTATGTTTGCAGCACTTTGTTTCCTCTTTTAGACTCCACTTTGTTTGTGGCGTACAATGACAATTACATTTACATCAGTGTGGGCGTCACAAATAATGACGCCCACACTGATGTTACAGACCCAGTTATGTACACAAACTGGTATCAAACTTTTTTTCCTCTTGTGAATATTATCATAACGTCTGTTTCAGACTTCATCACCATTGTTCCATACTGAATGACCCTTTTCCACCCCATGTGTCAACCTCCAAGCCTCCCAATTCAATGGTGACGGGTCTGAATAAAGGTCCAGTGTATAACATGTAGGAGGCTCTATTGGCAGACCTTGAATATAATATTCATAAGTATGTTTACAATGGTGTATAATCACCTGAAAATAAGAATGGTGTTTTTGTGGGTGGCCTTTCAATTCAATTCAATTTTATTTGTATAGCGCCAATTCATAACAGAAGTTATCTCAGGACACTTTTCAAATAGAGCAGGTCTAGACCGAACTCATAACATTTACAGAGACCCAACAGTACCACCATGAGCAAGCACTTGGCGACGGGGCAAGGAAAAACTGCCTTTTAAGAGGCAGAAACCTAGGACAGACTCTTCGGCTCTAGGTGGGTGGTCTTCTGCCTCAACCAGTAGATGATGACAACGACGACAACAGCGACGATGGGGGACAATGAGCAGTGATAATAGTAACTGTATTAGTAATATTAATAATAATAATATCAGTGATATTAGCAATGGCAGTCAAGCAGGACCATGGTAGGAGGCTCCACCAGGATCGACAAGAACCTGCGAGACGAGAAAGCACAAGAACTCCGGGGAAGAAGTGAAGTTAGTAACATGCATTAATGGAACATGAAAGAGTGCAGAAAGAGAGATGAAGAGAGGAGCTCAGTGCATCATGGGAAATCCCCCGATAGTCTAGGCCTAGAGCAGCATAACTAAGGGATGGTTCAGGACTCACCTGATCCAGTCCTAACTATAAGCTTTATCAAGAGGAATGTCTTAAGCCTACTCTTGAATGTGGAGATGCTGTCTGCCTCCCGAACCAAAACTGGAAGCTGATTCCACAGGAGAGGAGCTTGGTAACTGAAGGCTCTGCCTCCTGTTCTACTTTTAGAGACAAGTAGCCCAGCATTCAGAGAACGTAGTGTTCTAGAGGGGTAATAGGGTACTATAAGCTCTTTAAGATATGAAGGGGCCTGACCATGAAGAGCTTTATAGGTGAGGAGGAGGATTTTAAATTCTATTCTAAATTTTACAGGGAGCCAATGCAGAGAAGCTAGTACAGGAGAGATGTGATCTCTTTTCCTAGTTCCTGTCAGTACTCGTGCTTTCATGGTGCCTGCCTTGTTGAACCACCATGTTTCTACAGTAGCACAGAACAGACAAACCAAACACTGAATCTAGAATTAATCCCTTTGATTCACCTTTGGAAATGCGCACTGAAGCTTCAACAAGACAATCAGAAAGTGACCTTAACTCTGGCCTACACATAATAGTGGAGTTAGAGAAATGTGACTGATTCTGTTTCTTTTAAACCAAAGCTCGGGTACCCAGCTGTCAAATAAAGTATGGATGTGTTGGTGGTTGAAAATGGATCAAACTCTTTAAAGCAATAGATAAAACATTTTTGTTGTTTATCGTACTGATACTCATACTCACATATCAGATCAGGACAGGCTGTATTTTGGTTCCTACTTTACAGTATAGCTGCCTAAATGACAGAGCCACAGGCCTATGGCAAGACTTGGATGAACTCTTGACCTATGAATGAAAAATGTTTATCTGCAAGATACAAAAACACAAACTGCTACTTGGAATCAAGTTTGTTTAAATGAAATAAGACTCAAAGATTAAAACACTATCCCATTTTAAATGTTTATCAAGGGGTAGTACAGATAAAACTGCACTGGGAAATGTTTAGCCTCGGAAACATGGACACAATGTTGATTTAAACATTTGACAAAAACTAAACACATTTGACAGGCATCTGACATATGAGCGTTCTTGTTATATAACAACATAGCTCATCATTGCAGTGGTTTTTGGCAGCTGATTTTTTAATTTCCAGTGCCTCCCTTTCGTGAACTCACCAAGGAGACTTTTTAAAGCAGGTCTCACTCACTGCATGACTGCAGGACCATTAGATAGCTAAGATGGTGAGTTTTCCATTGTGATGAATTATCCATCATCTCAAGCAAGTCTTTGCAAGTTTGATGTTGGATTCAAAAGTGCTCTGACTGTCTGACCTCCGCATGAACAACTCAAGATTTTTGTGCTGAAGTATGTAAGGACTTCAGGCGCCCACTTGGATGTGTGAAGAGGAAGGAAGGAGATTGGGAGGATTGATTATATTAGAGGGGAATTCCACTGACTTACAGGTCTTGGGGAATACTACTGAATATGTGAAATAATGTAAAGCCTTTTTGAGGCTCCAGAGAAAGATGAATTGCCTCAGGTGATGCCTCTTGAGTCAGTGTTGGTTGGGGCTGAAGTCTACCAGTTTGAAACAGATCTAGAAAATGAACCTACCAGACCCCTGTAGCCTGCTTCTCATCTCTGTTTGAGGCTACATTAGCCACTACTAGCATGATACACACACAAATCGCACGGGTTGCATTTGTAGGTAACATAGCCACCAATTTTGACAAAGAGGAATCCATGGAATAAGAAACACGATACCTCTGTTTCTGCTCCATTAATTTTGATCCCTTTGTTATTGGAGTGCAATGTTAACCTGGTGGCATACTCTCAAACCACTTCCTAACCCACATGGTGGACTTTGTCAGTGTTGCCATAACCATCATCATATGCTTTGCTCAGATATGACCCAATTGTCACTGCAGTTTATGATAAATGATTATCTACCCTTCCATTTTTCATCATAAAAATTATAAAAGGAACAAGAAACACAGAAATGATTGGGTGGTCCAAGAGTACACAGGAGACTAAAGCAAAATATCCACAGGGCTCCGAAAAGACTGAGGATTGGACATGGCAGCTAGTTATTTACAATACAAAGTAATGAATGAAACAAAAACTTTATAGAAAGCAGAGATAGCTTCATTGTGACATAGTATGCAAATTCAGAGTGTTGCACAGACTTGATGAAGCAGTTCAAAATGTTTTATGCAGTGCAAAATGCTAAAAATAGCATCTCTATAAATGTTAATAGTGCAAGTCCAAGGAGGGCAGGTAAGACGGGATGGCAGCTTTTAAGGGAAAAAATGTTTCCAATGTTGTGGGAGGACTAATGGGCAAGTGGCGTTTTTTTAGAAAGGCTTTGAAGAAGACAATGAGCCGGGGCGAGCTGGGTGACGGCTTTCCTGCCCTCACATTTTTCACTTAAATGCCAAGCAGCTTGGTAAAGAACATACATCCATGGGAAGTATTCTGGTGCAGTATGGACACTTATATCCTCCAGGCCAACTGAGAGCACGAGCAGAGACTTTGCTAAATCCGAGAGAGTGAATCAGTGCAATGATATAAATTGGACTGGGAGAATAACTGGGACTGAGATGTTAATCTTATTGGAGTGTTTAAGGTGTGCCTGGCCAAGCTAACCCAATAATTAGCATGAGCAGAGGGTGCATTCAGGCCGTGGTGCCATTTTAATAGTGAATGCTGAGCGTGTGCCGGGCATGGCTGGGCTAATTGGGGAAGGGTGTGCTAGCGAGGCACCTCAGTCCATTATCTCTATCGCCATGGGAACTAGATAAGGATAATTAGCTGGACAGCATGGCACAGTGCAGGGGAAGCTATAGGCACGAGCAGCCGGATTAGGGAAGCATATAATGATGAAACTAATAGAAATGGATTTTTCACAAACTGCATAAAAGATTTTGTAAGTCGTTTACAATTAAGTGGCATCAATATTCACTTCACTCATCTTAAACCTGGTGCTCTTTCTCTGTTATTTTCTGTTGCTTTCTCTTATTTTTGCTCAGTTTTCAGTTTTTTTTCCTCATCCAAAGCTATAGATGGGAACAATACAATCTTTGTCCCACTGAGAGGTTTTCTCTTTCTTTCCTCCATATCTCTCCCCTTCTCCTCGCTTTCCACCACTCGTCAACTCTAACTCTACATTTATTTTGCATCCACTGCTGCTCCCGTGTTAACCTTTCTCTCTCCACCAGCTCATCCCTCACACTTACTATATCAGGGGTGTCGGAGTAACTGTGAACTGAATGGAAGAATCTTTTACATTTTTATTTTATTCTGCTCGACGTAAACGGTCAGTCAGTCAACATCACACCAACATGTGGAACTTTAAAGGGAAGTTAGTAGGTCATCTGCATTCATACGATGGCATTTAAACCAGTAGTAGTCTTCCTTCAACCTCCTGAAAATGTCTCCTCTATATGTCCTATTTTTCCATCTCACTCTCTCTCTCTCTCTCTCTCTCTCTCTCTCTCTCTCTCCGGGTGGTCCAGATCAGTAGGACCCCCTACTTTCAACTCTTTTTTTCCTCTCCTCTGTTCCCCCCCCCCTCTCTCTCTCTCTCCAGTTTTGTCTTTTTTCTTTGTGAGCAGATGGCCAAACAGGCAGATCTGTTCTTTCTCTACGGGACTTTGGATCTCACACAATAGGCCTCAGATTCTGAGTCCAGACTCTGTTCTGCCTCGCTGGGAAGCTAAACAAAGAGAGGAAGGAGGAGAAGAAATGAAAGCATTTGGAGAGCGGTACAAGGAAGAGAAGTTACTTCAAAGAGTTTTTGCACTGTTTGCATATTGCTTCATGTGTTTCACTGTAGAGCAGGAGGACAGTGTGTGTACTGGAAGTGTAGTGTGTTTTCACAGAGGTTGTGTGTCCTTAAAGAAATGTGTATTTCTCCTTAGATTCTTGAAGTTTTTGATAGAGGTTGCTATGATTTAGGGTTGGGTGAAATGATGATCTAAACTGTGAGCTGATGCGAGTCCGTCAGCCTGTTTTGTGGCAATATTGCACCGTAGCTCTGTGAAAGGCTGGTCAGTCAGTCTGTTGGTGAACAATAAAGATATTCTTACTGAAATATCTTAAATAAATGTCTTTACAGACATTCACGGCCCCCTGAGGATGAACCCTGTGACTTTTCCTTTTAGCCCCACCGTGAGGTTGAGGTCGATGTTTTGAGTGAAATGTCTCGACAACTATTGGATAGACTGCCATGAAATGTAGCACACACCTTCCTGTGCAACTTAGGATGAATTGTAATAGCTTTCATGATCCTCTGACTTTTCATCCAGTGCCATCATCTGGCCAAAATGAGAACTGTCCACTACTTTGTTTTACTGAAGGGCATCAGCCTCAGTTGTACTGTGTTTAGAGCTAATAAGATAATGTTGCTGTAGGCCAGTCTTAGTGTTGGTGTATGATTTATGCATAATATAAATGTAATATTATCTTGATTTGACATTTTTGTCTCATAATTTTATCCATATTGAGTTTGTCAATTCATTTTTCAGAAAATGTACTAAATTACAACTTCTTTCACCCCCACCCTCCTCCTCCTCCATCTCATCTTTCTCTCTGCTGTTCCCTCACCCTCCTCCATCTGTTTCAGGTACTACATGCCTGGTGGCCCTGCTGTCTGATAAGGAGTTGACAGTGGCCAACGTCGGAGACTCGCGCGGAGTTCTTTGCGATAAAAACGGCAACGCCATTCCTCTATCGCACGACCACAAACCTTACCAGCTCAAAGAACGCAAGAGGATAAAGAAGGCTGGTGAGAAAACAGCTGCAGTCCAGACCACCAGACTTTCCTCAGCTGATTCAGAGCAGCAGAATGAGGCTTTATTAAAACTTCAGGGAACATCAGAACTGAGATTGTTGTCATGAAAGCATAAAATAAGTCTTCTTATGATCAAAGCTAAGCACCATTATCCTTTTTTCCACATCTTGTGTCTCTGAGCTCAGGCTGACATCAAACCCTGGTGACTGATAACACAATCTGCTTCTAAAGCAGCATGTTATCAAATGCAGCCAGACAGTGCACAGTATTTAAGGTGTATTTGTAGGCATAATTCTCCCTCCTACCCTATCTGCATACTCTCTGTGCTAAAGAGAGTTCGATGGCAGGTTGCCAGATTAGTGAGTCAGTGTGGTCACTGTCAGGACAGCCCACCATCTCCATCTAATGGTCTAATTTGGTACTGGGAGAAACAATGTAGTGCTTTAGTTTGCATCATGTTGCTGTTAACTTATTCATGGAACATGTTTGCAATTTGGGATTCCCTACTGTTTTTAGTGATCCTCAGTGGGGGGCTACTTAATGTTTTAATCATAAATTCCCATATACAGGAACTACTAGAATACTAATAAAACTGCTTATACAGTAGTCCTCTCTCATGGGGTGCCATTATCTTGTTTCAGTGGTGTTTGTCTGTCTCTCTGTGACACATTCTTGTAAACAGACACTCAAGAACAATTAATGATAGAAACTTTATACCTGCTCCACAGGCTCCAGAGGGTAGAGCTGATGATCTGATTAGATTTTGGAGCACCTTGCTGCATAAATGTACATGTTAATGAGGGAAACCTGATTTTCTTTAAACTGTTGTAACTCTTAAATTCCAAATTAAGTCCCGTATGTCAGTGAAAATATTCAAAAGAAAGTATAAAGTCACGTTTCTCCTTCAGGCATCAACCTCACAGTATGAAACAACAACGTCTTGATACTAGAGCAACAAACTGCAACAGCCATGATAATACATGAGACAATTTTACTTCAAAACTTTTTTATTTATTTATACATATATATTAAATACATTTAAAAAAGGAGCTCCCATATGGAAAATACCAAATTAATATTTTTGTTGTTGTTGTTGATATACATCTCTTATTCTGCATTGCCTGACCAGTATTTTCAATTTCCTTATTTCTATTCTGTGTATCTTAAGATACATTTTAAAAATCAGTTATTAATAGTATAAAGAAATTGTCTCTGATTTGACCTACTTTTAATTCCAGTGATTGCACTCTGTGTCTCCAGTACAAAAATGTTTTTGTTGTTCATATTGTTAGTTTGATGAAGACCTTCGACTGAAGTGTTTCATGAGTTTCAAACTAATAAACAATGAAAGAAAGTGGGTTCAAACAGATAAGCCTGTGATTATGTAAGGACATAAATTCGGTCTAATGATAATGTGAGGGCAGGAATGTTTGCTAATTAATGCATTTATTAACTTAATTGCAGCCCTTAGTTGCTAACTGCTAATGTTAATACCTGATAGTGCTTAAAAGAGACACTAGGCAGTGTCTAATCTGTTGGTTGTTTCCAATTGCAGTTTGTACGTAACATTTCCCCAACAATTATGTAAAAGCAGCTCACTTAAAAGGCAGTAGTTGCTAAAGTAGCTACCACTGAGGACACAGAGGCCATGTCTTCTCTGCTTTTTCAGAGAATCTGGGGATTTGAGCTAACTTCTGTTGCAGTTTATAATAGAAAGTTACACATAATGGGATTTTTTTTAGAGCCTGAACTCCTAACCTCAGTGGTTTTAAAATGCTGGCTATGGCCTTGCTCACTAGGAACTCAGGAGGCAGCCTGACCTAGTATGGAATTCTTCATCCTATCAAGTCATTTCCAGGACAATTCCCGGCTTGTAAATCTGTTCAAGCCACAGAGGACACACAGCTGTACTTGCCGGATGTGACATGAATTGAAATGTATCCAACATAAACAAATTGTTCCGTGTGCATGAACCTTGAGCACTGAGAGAAAACATGTCAGTGGCACTGATCCATATTATTATCTGCATTTTGATGTGAAGTGCAGCGGTCTAATAGTGGTTGGTTCAGAGGAGAAAAAAATAATCTTTTATCTCAAAGTTTAATGGCAATAACATGGAAAAACATATGTTTCTCTACTTTTCCTCCCACCTTTGTGTTCCTCCTTCCTCACCTTCTTTCTAACACCTCCCTGCTCCTCCCCCTTATATTTTACTTCCCACTCTGCTTGTTTTATCATTTTTTCCTTCTGTCTTCCTCCTCAGGAGGGTTCATCAGCTTCAATGGCTCGTGGCGTGTCCAGGGCATTTTGGCCATGTCCCGTTCTCTTGGCGATTACCCACTGAAGAACCTCAACGTGGTCATTCCTGATCCCGACATCCTGTCATTTGACCTGGACAAGCTGCAGCCGGAGTTCATGATCCTGGCGTCGGACGGCTTGTGGGACACCTTCAGCAACGAGGAGGCGGTTCGCTTCATCAGGGAACGACTGGACGAGCCTCATTTTGGCGCCAAGAGCATCGTCCTCCAGTCCTTCTATCGTGGTTGCCCTGACAACATCACCGTCATGGTGGTCAAGTTTAAAGGCAAGGCCAGTGAGCAGTAGACCACCCGTCTACCACACACCATATCTATAATATGTTTGAATATAAGTAAGAAAAAAATAGGCTTAAAATGAAAGATTTAAAAACCGAGCCCGCAACTTTTTGAGCGAGAACTATTTCTATCACAGATATTTACAGAAGTTAGCTCTTTAACGCATCAAACCACGCCCTCCCTCCCCCCTCCTCTTCTACTTTTACTGCTGAAAAAGTGACACTTGTGAGAAAATGTCTTTCATTAAGGCTTCACCATATCGTCAGACACCGTAATGCGAGCTGGGTCACTGTTATGCAAATAAACAGATTTAGCTCTGTGCAGCTGTGGGTACGCTTATGTGTGTCTGTGTGTGTCTGTGTGTGTCTGTGTGTGTCTGTGTGTGTCTTTGTGTGTGTGTGAGTGAGTGAGTGAGTGAGAGAAATGTCTGTCGATGTGATAAACTTGCACACAAGTGTCACGTTAACAACCAACCCATTGTCTAGCCAACAATGAGACATTTTACAGTATACAAGATAGCATGGAGTTTCACTTCCACATTATTTCAATTGTCTGTGTGACCACTAATTTTATGTTTTTAGTTTCCTCATCATTTAATCGTATCGACGTCTACCAGGTGTCTGCACTGAAAGGTCCGTCGTTTAACAGGTTGGCAGGTTTTTTGTTTTTTCCGTGGATCAAATACATGTCACTGGTGCAAATCATCAATATGAAGTTATTCCCTTTATACATGAACAACACAGATGATAATGTGCGTATGTTAAGATATCACCATGAATATTGTACAGCGAGAGAACTTATTACAATATCACATCACACTTGCTGAACGTGGGAATCCTTGAGTGTTTTTATCTTGAGTTGCCAAATTTTATAAGTTTATTTGTTGGATGTCTTAGTTCACTTTAAAATGATTGCTGTTAAAGACAAAATATATTCTTTTTGATTGTTGATACATTTTACAACTTCTTACGGCTGAGTTTGAGCTAGTTTGATCTTTTTCTGTTACTGTGTTCAGCCCCGACTGATTAGCCTCCATGTAACTACTGATAATGTAATGACCGCTGGATAATGCAGTAGGCTGTCAAAGTGTAACCGCATCTCATTTTAAATGGCTGTAAAATGTAATGCAACTTTTCTTTAAAGCAATAGACTCTCAGATAATGTGGAGATAATGTTGTAACATCTCATTATGACTCCTAACTGCTGATTCATATGGTTTGTCACACGTCATCTGATGATATATTAACATTGATTGTTACGTCAAACTTGTAAGGAGAAGCTAATAATCTAGTTTTCACATGTAATAATTGAAAGAATAATTGGCATCTAATTTTAATTTTATATTATTTAGGAATGTATATTACTATGGTTTACAATCCTTTTAATAAGCTTCATTTTTACATATTGACATGCTCTTCCTTTATCTGACTTTTCTTACATTATCATTCACTACAAACCTACATAATATAAATATACTGAAATTGACAACTTACTGTTACAATGTCATCTGTTAATGTCACCTTCACTAAGAGAAAAGTCATTTTCTCCCGATACAGATCACATATCACATTTCCCTGAACTGTAACTCAAAATGTAACAAGCCTTTGAATAAAATGTGTTATTGTTGCCTTATTTTTTAACTGTTCATTTCCTTCTGTTATGAAGTCTGCTGCCAAAACTACTTCTTGGTTTGTAATGTAACGCAGTCGATCATACAGTTACCATGCACACTGCACGACCTCCGTGTCTCACCTTGTTAACTCACATGTAGAATATCGTCCTCGAAAGAGTGTCTCCGAGAGACACGACATTGTAAGATGAATGTACATACTGTCCTCATGTTAGTTATCACCCCTTCCACTGTTTATACAGCCATGAAGAAAGTAACGCGCCTGCTCCTGGATTGTTTAACTTCAGTGATATATAACAGATAAAACTGTTTAAAACTGCTTTTTAAGTTCACATTATTCCTCCATACTGTATGTTGCCAAATGTTTATGTGGCATTTGTACTTGTTTATGTTGACTTTAATAAACTGTAAACAAAAATCTGAAATTTTAAAATGGAAATCAAAAAGGTAACATTAAAATGCTAAATGATATTTTCTCTGTGCCTATTTATTTATTTATTTATTTATTTATTTATTTATTTTTAAGAAAGTAAACATTGAAAGTAACGCATACACATTTACTGTATCATAGAACAACGTAGACATAAAACAGGAAAAGAGAAGAGAGAAAATGTTGTCATACCCTTACATAGTGTATGTTCTGGGGACTCATAATAATAATAAAAAGGCACTATAAGCAACATAAATATATCATAATTGTTTATTTCTCTTATTTAAAGACAGAAAATGATTCAACAACTTTTGAAAAGCTCTGTTTCAGTCAGTCTGTGCCACCTGCTGGTGATTAGAAGATGTTCATTGTAGCAGTCCATGTTTACTAATTATGTTAGGACTGGAAAATAAGCTGAACATACTTTGATCCTGACATTATGATTCTCTGATGTATTTAATTATATATTACTAGTCAATAGATCAGTCACAATCCCACTTAATAAAACAGCAGCCAGTGACATTTGATCATCAGCCTACAGTCCAGTCAAATAGTGTTCATTAAGGCAAACACATCAGTACACACTGGTATATTTTATAAATATATATAGTTGGGTTTATTGGAGTTGTACTAATGTTTAGAGCAGTGGTTCTCAAACTTAGGTCTGATAAGATTTTCTTATTCCATAACTGTCTATACTGTAGATCAGCCGATTAACAGTGAACAGCGTGAAACCTACAAATAACAGAATAATCTTTCTTATACATTTTATCATTGAGTCAATTAAATAATATTGAAATTAAAATATTCCCCATTTGTCCTCGGACCCCTGGTTGACAACCACTGATTCAGATCATGTTGTCCAGTCATACAGTAGCACAGAATCAGTGCAATGCTGTACTCATAATAATCATAATAATCCAAAATATGTTTTATGGTGTATAATTAGTAAACAAAGCTCCCCATGCACAGACTGCAACAGTCAGCGGCTGGTGGGTCGTAGGACCATGCAGTTAAAAATCTAAATTAACCACCCGCACGCTAGAATAACTTTACTGTGATTTTATTAGGAGCAAACAACGCTTTCGTGTTCGCTCAGTAAAATTACATGAGCACCCACAGGTCTGATCTTTTTTCTCCTTTCCTTTTTGTCGGTGTTTTACCATTTTTACAAATGTATAATGTAAAATATATATTAAAAAACATAATACTGCACAAAAATACTTATGACAAAAACATAGTATTAATGAAGATTGTGATAACTACTCATGTGACCCAGATGTAGCCTATTTATCACAACCGTGAGTGCCTGTGTACATTTTAATGAGCGAACCTGCAGAAGCTTCTAATAAAACAGCGAAGTCATTCCAGTGTGCAGTCGTTAATTATGTTTTATGGTATATTCATTTGAGATGAATAACAAATTCCCAGAAACAATGTATGTTGAGAGATTTCTGGAAGTCTACAGCTTCCATGTTGTCAGTCTAAAGATAAAACTACATTTACCCATCGGCCAGGGCGAGTAACCCACCACCAAAATGTCCCTGTGATGTCAGTTCAGTGGGACATCCAGCTAAGAAGAAACACAATATTCCTGTTGGACCGAACATGGACTTCCTGGATGCTTGTGTTCTTGTATGATGATCCAGGGCAGGTGTGATGTGACTCCTCGAACTGTGATGTGGTAACCAGAGAACTTAGTTGCACCGTCACTGTAGATATAAATAGCTTTACTGAAAGCTACGCGGGGACAGAAGGAATCCCATCACAACAGAGGGGGAGGGATCACTCTGCCTGTGTGTACATAAAGCATACTGATTGCAGACAGTATCCAGAGAGCAGACACACTAAGCCTACAGATAAGGCAGCATAGAGGGAGCCACTGTCTGCACACTGCTTAGTTTACACAGTTATACAAAAGGGAAGAAAACCATAGTTACTGGACACAGACTGCACTTTTAGGACATGGGTATGCATGGATCCAAGTCTCGGAAACAAGCGCAGGTCCTGATGCTGGGTCTGGACGGGTCAGGAAAGACCACCCTGCTCTACAAACTGAAGTACAACGAGAGTGTGGTGACCGTGCCAACTGTGGGCTTCAATGTGGAGACACTGGAGACAGATAGGAGCAGCCCGAGCCTGACGGTGTGGGACGTGGGGGGCCAGAGGAAGATGAGGCCCCACTGGAGGCATCACTACACTGATACAGCCGGACTGGTGTTCGTGGTGGACAGCTGGGATCATAAGAGGCTGGACGAGGCCCGCAAGGAACTTCATCGGGTAATTAAATCAGAGAATAGAGCAACACTTTACTTTAACACGCCTATTTAGCATTTATAAGCATTTAAAATGTGTTTTTCTTTTTGTTCCTGCATTTAACACGAGTGATATGAAACCTTGAATCCTGAGCACTGAATGGACTTTTTTAGTGAAGTAAGAGACATCTTGAGTCCAGTAGTTAAACGTTTGCATATTGTTAGATTCTTGATTTTTTTTTTTATTGAGTGAAGAGCACATTTTAACCCTTTTTTACTGGGTAATTGATCTCTATTGATTAAAGATCTCCTCCAGACATTTGTTAAAGGTACAGTGTGTAACATTTAGGAGGATCTATTGGCAAAAATGGAATATAATATTCATATGCATATTTTCATTTGTGTATAATCACCAGAAAATAAGAATCGGTGTGTTTTTGTTACCTTAGAATGAGCCGTTTTTATCCACAGACACCACAGTTCACCCTTGTGTGGAGGCCTGCCATGTTAAACTGCCATGTTTCTACAGTAACCCAGAAAAGGCAAACCAAACACTGGGTATAGAAAGGGCCGTTTTGTGTTTTTTGTGCGTTTTGCAGCCTCCATAGTTTCTCCCTCACTCTTGAAAGTTAAGTTCAGTTGTTGAAACATGTCTAGAGAGGATCTTTAGGAACTACAGTGTGTTATAAACCATATATTGAGTGTTTATAAACTGCTTCTTGCTAAGACATTGTTCCCCTGATAGGATGTGTAAATATCCCCATGCAATGGACTAGTAAATCTAAAAGTTTGTTCTACACTGTAGTAATTAAACTCTTAACTTTCTCTATTTACTAGGTCCTGAGGTACGAGAGCCTCCAGGGGGTTCCTCTCGTGGTCCTTGCCAACAAACAGGACCTTCAGGGATCTCTAAGCCCAGAAGCACTTTGCCTGAAACTGGACTTGACGAGAGTGTGTGAGGGCAGGGCCTGGTTCATCCAGCCCTGTTCAGCCACCACCGGCATGGGACTAGAGGAAGGTTTCAGGAGGATAGTCTATCTGATGAAGACACCACTGAAACAGACTCAAGAGGACATTAAGGTTAAGATGAGGTCTAAGGGCTTCAGTATCACAGCCTTGAAACAAGCCTTGCTCTGTGGCCGATGATGGATGAGAGTCCTTTTCTTGAAGAGTTGTTCAGGATTCCTTCTCAGCCACTGGCTGTGAAACTCACCAGTGAGGGGCCTCATTGTGGCAAGATCCATGAGAGGAGGTGATAACAAAAGGATGACCTGATCACAGTTTTAATCTCTGTGGCGGAAAGAACTTTTACTCAACTCCCTAGAGAAGACAAAGTGTCTTTGAACCACGGTGATAACCTGTGAAGAGGCGGTGAGTTTCTTGGATTATGAGGGTAGTTTTAAGAAAACAGTTGATATGAGCCGAACATGACGTCTGAGACATTTCAGTCTGGCATACTGCACATGTTTTTGTCTGTGGCTCAAAGAAATGCTTTCCAATTGTGCATTATCAGGTTTTCTTTATTTATATTATTTATAAAATCATAATATTAAAATAAAAAGACTTGTTATGTGCTTACTATTTCATTCATGCTGTATTTATTTATTCAGAATGACGCCACTGCCAGTGTCAGTCACAAAATGTTACACTGAATGAAGATTTGATACTGATCCAGCACATTAAAACAAAAAACAAAACTGTCAAATCTGTCAACTCATGTTCAGAGCATGTTATTTTACTCTGGTTCTGTTTCAATAAATGTTGTTTTGTCTGCTTGTTACAATGAAATAAAGTTGCTAAAATATCTGGGATTGAATGAGGTGGTTCTTGTGGAGTTTGGGCAATAAAATAAATAGCAGTAATTCTTCATTTAAACCAGCAACAAGGGATTTTATTCTTTTTTTATTCTGGTGGGCCCTGTGGACAATAGCAGTAGTGTTTCCAACGCCTCCTTTCATTGATTTCAAGGTGAATCTGAACCAAATCCAACCCAGTAGCAGGCATTATAACCATATAAAAATAAGAAATCTTCTCACTGATGGTCTGGTGTGCTTATGTAGGTCATATAGATATAACCAGTTAAACTAGTAGTAGGTTTAAATAAATGTTGTAATACAAGAATGTGATTCTTCATCCTGTCCATAGTGACTGTAAACAGATCCTCTCATGACTCCAGTGAAGGAGATGTGGGACAAGTCCACGCAGAAATGCAGTTTAAAGTTCAGCCATAGCTAATATGAGGCTTCATCAATCTGAGTCAAATCAAATGGGTCTCTTTCAAAGTTACTTAGTCAAAGGCAATCTAAAGGCAGCTGAATTTGTAGAAGTATTGAAGAGTATTCCACTGGGAAGTCAAAAACAGGTATTTCAGAACCACAGTCATAATGGCTAAATATGGAAAAATCATCTGGATTATGTTGGAAGGGCAAGGAGACCTCAAACATACACTGCTGTCCAAATTAGCTGGGATACTGGGAGGATATTAAAAAGGAAACAGAATTAATCTTGGGTTCAAAATTAATCTTTGAACTAAAGTTATTTATTTATCTTAGGCTTTACTTTTAGTAGCCAAGTCACAACCCCTAAACATAGGCAACAAAAGGTGAATTAGACGTTTGTTATGGAAAAGGTACCAGAAAATATAAGCCAAAATATAAATATCCATGTAAAAAAAAAAAAATTGATTTATATTAATTATTTATAATTTTTTTAAATGAAACCCACACGTAAAAATTGAAGTAATCCATAAATGTAATAGCACAAATAAAAACACAAACAACAAATGTATATAAAGTAGGATGAACTGTAATTGAATATAATGTTTAAATAATATAACTTTTGTGTGTTGTTGTGTGGCGCGCCCTGCAGACAGACGCTCACAGTGAAGCCAATGAGAGTGAAGGGGATTTCCCCACCCTTCCTCTACGCCAGAGCGAGGCTGCCCTCCACCACCGGCATTCCCAGTATGCACCGCGGACAGAGCAGCAAAAAATAGTCCGTTAACGAAAGGCTGAGAAAAGGGAACTAGAAAAAAAAAAAAAAAAAGGGGCAGCTCGCAAGCTAAAAAAAAAATCCACGACTGTATTTAACGCCACCAGAACCGCTACCATGGCTGACAACGAGAAACTGGACAACCAGCGGCTGAAGAATTTCAAGAATAAAGGCCGTGATTTGGAGGTAAAAGTTGTGCGGCTCGGTGTCGAGGCTCTCCGCCGCTCCTCGCCGCCGCCGCCGCTCTCTGCTCGGCCAGCTTCGCTTCCTTGTGACGTCGTTTCTAATTTCCACCGTCGGGAACTTTGAGCCTCGACCGGGGGGCCTTCACGGGTCTCACGTTGTTCAATAACCGGGCGATTCCCCCCCTTTTTATGTTGTGTTTATGTGTGTGGGGGGAGAAGGTTTAAGTGGTACATCGTGAGACCGCGGTTGGTTATAAAACATGTCCGATAAAAAGCAGTCAGAGTTCATCGCCTCCGCTGGATGTGCTCCGCTAGCGCTGCTCCGCTAGCCAGGCCCAGCGGCGGCGGCGGCGTACATGCTAGTTTATCTGAAGCGTAATCATCCACCGGAGCGGTTTAACTCGATGAAAACGTTTCATCTACGTCTGAAAGTTCCCATACTCGACCTCGACGGTGTCTTGTGGAGATATTTGGTCGATTGGCCGGATAACACAGCGGCGGATTAGCACTATTTTGATACTGCGGTTCGCTAACCTGCGTGCTAGCTAGCTAGCGTTAAGCTCGGTGTTGCTGGTGGCTGCAGTTCCACCCATCCCCCGTCTTTATCACCAAAAACAATGGCGGAAAACCAGTTAGCCTCTTAGCTGGCCACTTTACCTGGCTCTTTTAAAACGTGGCGTAACGTTAGTGTTAACATTTAACTGCGTGGTTTACTCACATTAACGTGACACACGCGTGGAAAACGAGGTTAAACACGAGCAGCTAGTTAACTAATCACATGATTGATCGATCAAAGCTATATAACGTTGGATCCATAAGTTGATGTACAGTCAGCGCAGCGTTCATTAATGTTAGGTTTGAAGAGGGGGGGGGTGGTGATTGTGTTGTTTTCAGGCGGGATCCTTTGAGATGTAGCAATGTGAGCAGGATATACTCACACATCCTGTTTGACAAGTAGTTTCTGTTGCAGAGTAAAGGCCTCTAGACACGAGTTGTCTCGCCCAGCAACCTGTTAATAACTCGAGGTACCATCATGGTGGAGGTCTGTCAGTGATGGACGCAAGCATTACCAACAAACTGTATATGCAACTAAAACAACACTCGTCTGCTCTTAAAGTATATGACAAGCCATATATTCAAATGCCAGTTTATTAGGTACACTTGGGTGAAACTAATGCAGCCTGCTGTAATAAAATCCACCTCATTTAGTTTATAATGTCCTTTTTTTTGTTGTTGAAACTGTCTCGGAGAGGTGTTGATTCAACGTCATGGTCATTTTGGAGCCTGTAGTTATTTGTACTGTTGAACTGGATTGTGCTATACTGAGAGGTGTTTCCAATATTTTGTCCAACACATGTATAGCAATGCTGGTAGACTAAGTACTCAACACTAATTGTCTTCTCAATATAACACAACACAACTGAACAGCAGCACAAACTATAGTCTCTACTAAAGACCACAAATCAGAATCGGGGCCTTTATTAAACAGTTTCAGCAAAAAATAAATCACACTAACCTTCAGGAAGGGTGGGTTTACTACATGACTGCTTTAGTTTTAGGCTAATGTGCCTAATTTTGTGTGAATAAGAACATAAATAAAGGCCGTATGAAATAATATAGGGGGGGCTAGCCACATAAATTGGCCTTGCAGTAACTTTAGCTGAGTCATATTAGGTTTGGGTGCTGTCATATGCAGTGTGTGGGCTGTTGACTTAATGCTCCAGGTATGACTGATACTGCTGTTGGGCTCAGGTCGTGCAAACTGGGATCCAGCTCTCGGAGCATGCCCACATTTAATGTCGTGTCACCCTCTTGGGCAAAGGCAGGTTGGGATTAAAGTTCTTTGTTGTATAATGTTAATACCCTATCTCACCCACAGACTATGAGAAGACAGAGGACTGAGGTAGTGGTGGAACTCAGAAAGGTAAAAAACATTTGTGTTTTGTGCTATCAACTACAAACCTAATTCAGTTGACATAACGTACTGAAAGATGCTGAATTGTCCTTATCATGAGTTTCTGCTGGGATATACATGAAGTGATATTTCTGCTCTTTCCACCACAGAACAAAAGAGATGAGCACCTTCTGAAGAGGAGAAATGTGCCCCATGAGGACATCTGTGAGGACTCTGATGTCGACGGAGATTTCAGATCGGTACGGTTGCGTATCCTCCGCTCAAAATGAAGCTTAACAGTCATCCCCTTTATGTGTGCAGCAACAACCTAACAACGGCACATAAAGTAGACAGATCAAGCATCCCGCCATCAGTAAAGGGGCATTTACGTTTGGTGGCATTGCTGGATTAAAATGGCCACTCAGCAGTTCAGAAATTCAATCACAGTAACTGCCTAGTGGTATTGAGAGGGCTGACTTGAAATGGACTGCTTAGCAATATATCAACAATGACATGCTGCTCTGACTCACTGCAAGACATTAGAGAGGCTTTTGTAGAAAAGTGTGCTGGCCAGTCTAGTTTAAATACTTAACCAACCGACGACCGCTGTGCGACTGTTTTCAGTCGGTCTAAAATAACACATTGAATTGGGTTGCCTTGAGGACATTTACTTTTGTTGTTTTTTGCCCTTGCAAAATAAAAGATTTTGGCCTGTGGAGCTTGTTACACTATACGTATAAGCTCTTTTCTGATGTATCAGATTTTTCCCAAGATGGCCTTTTCTTTCCTTCAGCTTTCTTTTACATTTTTCTTTTTCTGCTCTTGTCTTGAGCTTTTCTCCTGACTACTTTCACCTTACCTAAATTGCAGTTTTCTTTAATCTTCCTCCTCATGCATGGAAGTTAAATACAGAAATATAAATCTGCTCTAGTGTATATTTGTAGGCACGGTTGTGTTTAAATGTTCTTTTTTCTGGTTTGACTTTTGTTGCAAGTCTACTGCGCTCTCTTACTTGAGGGGGCAGAAGCAATCAGCTGCGACTGTCGGCCATCAGAGGCATCGGCCAACTTTATATAATCGGGCCCGCAGTCATGGTCAGTGCTTGATTGAAAGTGATACTCAGAGGCTCCCTATAGATGGCGTCAGGTGAGCTTGCCAATTGGCGAATTATGTTGAATGCCGGCCTGCACGTCCAGCCTGCTGACTGTTACGTCCAGGACACTGCCTGCGGGAGAAGCGCCTGTGCGTACACAGAAATATCTTGCTTTTGTTCATGTCAACAGGGTAGAGCAAGCTACCCGCGTGAGCAGTGCGGCTCACAGGCAGCTGGAGCGCCGCATCATCTAGAGATTAGACGTGTCGCCTATTTTTTTCCAAGTGACACACGGCTCTCAGCAAAAATAGACAATGAAAATGATCTGTTGTCATATGGACATCATACCAGCAACATGTACTACCTTTCACTACACTTCCAATGTCTACATCTGTAGAAAGTCACAGACAGACAATCTCCTATATCTATTTAAAATAATAAGCACTTTCGAGGACAGAATCCCTTCATTTATTGATGAATGTTAGCGCTGTCTGTGAGGTACCGGGCGTTAACACAGCTTTGGTTCAAGTAAGAATGCACTACATTGTTCTGATGGCATTTCCCAATCATCAGCCTCCCTTTGCCGTCCTCAGTGGTGCTCTGGTGACTTTCCTTCCTGTTTTGTCAA